TACCATAGAATTAAGCATAGAAGGCACTTTTCAAAACCTTCCTTTCACGCTTGGAGAGTTATACAGACCTTGGATGATTCAACCTTCCACAAAGTTCTATATGCAAGACTTTGTGTCTAGTCCTACACTTCACTCTGTCTACAAAAGCAAGGAGAAGTTGCCTCAATATGAGCTTAACAAGAACCATGATCGTTATGCACACCATTGTACCTCCCAGCCTCTTTATCTTGCTAGTGAAAAGCCTGAATGACTTTATCCAGCCTTGGACTGATGCTTCATCGTCTATCCTCAATACTTCTAGGGTGTAGCCTACTTTATTCAATATTGTTTTTGTCAAACAACACCTCTATAGATATTATTCCCCTTATAATGTTACTTTTCATATATTTTTGCCTAGGAATATAATCTTTTGATATAGAAAAATGTTTAGGTTGTCAAACCCATCAGGACCCTCTATATCATCTGCTTTTTCACCACCCTCAACTCCACCTCTCCATCGATTTGCAACTGAAGAGGAGCACAACAAGGTGATTGTTGGCCTCTATCGAGCTCTACACTACACACTAAGGAGGCAAGCATATACTAAAAGGAAGTTCAACAAGTTTTTGTCTTGCCTTAACATTGACCTAAGCTTTGATGAGGAGTATGCCTTGGACTAGCATTTGTTGTTTAAGTTGTTTAAATTTTTTTTGTTTTTAAACTTTTTTTTTGTTATGATTTATTTTAATTTTCTTCTAAATAATATGCTTTGAACAATATACATTATATTTGCTATCTTTTATGCAAGTTATATTCATCAGATCATGCACGCTTTCAAGGGAGTCCCCTATGCATTGTAGAAAGCATCTAAGGTAGATTCATAATATTTGATCATATATGCCTTGGCATATAAAGTAGAAATATATGCTTTGATACACTTTGATATGAACAAAGAAAAATAAAAATTTCAAAAATACAAAAATGTGTTGGTCACCATCAAAAAAGGAGAGATTGTTAAGTCAAAAGATGATTTAGATCCCTTGAACTCAGAGTTTTAATGTTAACAAAAAAAATATTTTTATAAAGAAGTAATGTCTGCAAAAAAACTGTCTTTGAAAAGCTTATCAGATGAAGTGTAAGACATAGATCATCTAGGAGACATTGTAAATTAGACGAAACATACAATTTGTCTCATAAATATTGAATGTTTATTATTTATCGAGACTAACGACAAAGTTTGTATTGAATGGTTCATTCCTTAACAAATTGAATTAGAAAGCCATCTTGGAACTCATAAATCTGTTAAAGAGGAGAATCATGCTTTCCATCAGAACCAAGATTCTTGAAATCATAGAGAAAAGTAGATAAAGTCACTACTACAACTACTATACGCTGACATTGCTTTTTGATGGAAACCTTAGTTGCAAACCGAATAGCTCTGGCTTCTCCTTCAAGTTCCTCCCTGGACCTTTGACTTTTTGACAGTCCTCAAGCTTCTTCAAGGTTTCTAATGGAGGTAGAGACCTCTGGTTTTACCTTGGAAGATGAAGAACTCTCTTCAAGTGGTGTCACTTCTAGGTAGAAGATGAACCACTTCAATCCTCACCACTCTCTTAGGAAAATGATAAGAGAATTGGAAGCAAATCAAAGATAATTTAGGAATTTTGAGAGAGAGAATTCATAGAACAATCTCGGATAATCTCATATAATGACCCAAAAGTGAATTTTACAAGTGAATTAACCTATATATAGTGGTGGATTAGCTTGTAGTGCAAGTTAGACAAGGTAGGGACAAGGTAGGAATACTTAGATCTAGATTAGTCAATCATAGAGTGTCAAGTATCACCTTGTGTCCTGGGAGACAAGGAGGGGACACTTAGATCTAGAAGATTCAATCATAGAGTGCCAAGTGTCACCTTGTCTCCTTGGCTAACCAAGAGACAAGTGTGTTAGAAAAACTACTAGTAATTTTGGCCAAAGGTGAGCTAGGTGGCCTTGGTGAGTTTCTTTCATCTAATCCATTCCAAAAATCATGGAATTGGTTTAGTTAGGTTCACCAAATGATGGTGAGACCCAGCTAAATCAATTCCTTGGATTAAATGAAGGAAAACAAGCTTAATATGTAAAATTTGGCCTACGCCTACTAAAGGCTCAATCACTGTCTTCACCTACACAATTGTTATTTGCTACCTTACTACTAAAAATAAAAATATGAAAATCTATGACCCTTAATACAAGGTCAAATGAAGTAAAAGTCTCCAAGCAACATACCTTAAAATCCTAAGGGTATGACTTACAAAGAAAGATAAAGGTGTCTTACAAATACAAAAGCAAAAATAAACCTATACAAATATCTACTATATATAAGGTACAAGAACTCAAACTATACAAGATATGTACAATAGAGACTATGAGACTAAAAAAGAGGAACCATACTCAATGTTCATATAGACCATAGGTCTAAGAAACACCTCTTTTGTAGAAGCCTCTTAATCATGGACCTAGTTAAAGGTTCAATGACCTTCAAGTGTGAGCTTCCTATGGATGGTCCTTCATCAACCTTCACCCTTCTTGGTCTTATCTCTTCCAAAGGAAACCTTGGGAAGTAGGTTTCCATCACTTTTGTATGCTCTGTTTGGTATGGAAAGTTGATAAGTAGCCTCCTTGATCATATAAGAGGTATCATTTGGTGAAATGCATTTAATTCTTGCATTAAATGAGCTAAATGGTCACCTACCATCACAAGGAAAGACAATAAAGACAGATAAAACAAACTTGTGAGTTGAACTCAAAGTATTGTAACGGTCATCTTCTTTGAGCTACCGTATAAAAAGACTCAAAGCTTAAGAAAGACACATATATAATTTACACAAAGACACACTATATACATTTGTACAGAAGCATGCTCTCTATAAATTTATTCTTGTAAACATTGATTGCTCTGTGTATAATGTCTAAGTGAGATGCAAACAACATTCGTGTAATCTTCATAACCATTGTTATAAGATTGAATTTGGAGAGGATTTTCTTAAAAAGAATACTTGTTTTGAGCCTAAAGAGACTTGACTATAAAATAATATTTGGTTGTTAAGCCTAAAGAGGCTTGGTGTTAAAATAATACTTGGGTAGTTACTTAAAGAGACAAGTCAAAGAATACTTAAGGTTGAATCAGAAGTGACTTGTTGAAAGAATAGTTGTATCTTTGTTTAAGGATAATGGAACTCAATCTGGTTAGATTGAGAATTAGACGTAGTCTCAGTGGTTGAGACAAACTAGTATAAACATTCCCAATGTTTGATCTGACTACTCTTCATACTCCATTTGACTAGAGTTATTACTTCACTACAGAAAATCATGTGAGTTTTTAATATATACTATTTAACCCCCTTTTAGTGTTTATCTTTTCTCCATAGTATGTATGTACATGATTTATGTTGTAGTTTCTCAAATGAACATTTATGATTTTCATTTGATTAACTTCCTATACATATATACATAAATGTTCCTTAGAGGAACTACAACATAAATCACACATACATACACACACAACATATATATATATATATATATATATATATATTGTTGCATGTATATCTAGAAATTATATACATGGTAATGATAGTTAGAGTTATGTTTTTCGTTGCTTTAGTTGATGAATTGTATAATGTAAGAATCTATCAGGTCATTGAAAGAATGTGCTCGCCCACTAGCTTGTCAAAAAATGGCAAGTTGGGATGAACATTTTATGTGATAGCGTTTTTAAGATTTTTCAACAGGATCATTTCAAAAAAAATTTTAACTTCTTTTCTAATTCAATTTTTTATTTATCATATTTATTTATGAATTAATTTTTTTTTTTATATTTTAATAAATTATAATAATCTCTTCAAAAAGATTACAATAATTAAAATTAATTTTGTACTACAATATAAATTAATTATCTTAAATTTAAAATATTATTTATTTATACAAATCGTAAATATAATTTACAAATATATAAAATTAAATATTATATTTAAATATATAAATCATATTTAAAACTTGTATAAGTAAATACCGTTAAACATGTAAATTTTATTTTAAATTTATGATTAATAATTTATATTGTAGTATAATACTATTATTATTTATTGATAATTTATTTTAAAATTAAAATTTAATTAATAAATAAATAAAAATAAATAAAAAATTAAATTAGACAAGTTAAAAATTTTCAAAAAAACCTTTCCGTTCGAAATAAAATTCCTAAAAATTCTTAAACTAAATAAAAAAATAAATATATAAAGATTAATTAATTTAAAAATCATGTCGACAATGATTTTTTTTAATAATTAAAATTTACGTTAATCTACCATTACCAACAAGTTGATGATACTTTTTTTTTTGTTCGTCTTTAGAGTATTCACCGTCGACAGCAGTGACTAATCTCTTCGTTACGTTGGAGACACCTCAAAAGGTGGGATCCCCAAGATTTAACGCGACTGCATACACAAGTTGATGATACTAGACTTTATACTTAAAAAATTTTAAGAGGAGAAATCTCACGAAGATAATCAATAATATTATCTCATAAAGAGCATCAATTAATCATTAAATAAATATTTCACATAAATAGCATGATAAAATAAAACATCAACAACCATTAAGTTCATTAAAAAAGCTTAAACTTTAAACAAAACGAAAAGGAGCGAAAGTATTTTCCTGAATGCCACGTCTCCGTCCATAAAAATACATGATGTGGTTAGACATCGTAATCACCTTATGTTCTGGCTTAGCCATTTCCATCCCTTAGAATCTCCATTAAGATTCAATCCTCCATGATTCTCTCCACGTGATCAGTTATTGTTGTTTGCTATGACTTGGCAGTGCCACCCATCACAAAAATCTATCACCGTCCAAAATCAAATTAAATAATGACCCCAACATTAATTCATGATCCTCATGCCAATTGGCAAATTATAATCAAGGAAGCATACAATTTTTTCTATTAAATATTAATTAAGTCATCTATGCATTATATATATCATCATCACATATCAGTTATCATCAAACAAGTCTTGATTCCCAACCTTTTATATTTTGGTGTTGACAAAAAGTTCCTCAGTTGCAAACTCTTTTTGGTTTCACACCATTTTGACTTCATTATATAAAGATCATTTGTGTAGCTATTATCACAACCATATTGTTAGACACCTCTAATTTCATCTACTGTTTTTTAGGTCAGTTCCCAAATCTCAAATCAAAGTTTACTCTCTCATCTTTTTCTTTTTTTTCTTTTCTCCCTTTGATGTTGGTCATTGCTATTGATATGGGGTTTTGATTTTTTTTGGGCTTTCTGCAATTGGGTTTTGAGGATTTTATCGGTTTTTTTTATGCATTATTTACTGCAGAGATTTCTTCTTATTTGGCTTGATTTTCTTCTGCAACCTTATCTACTGCAAAGGTGAGTTACTGCATCATCATTTCGGAGTTTTTCTTTCTGATGATTCCGAATCATTTGTCAATTTCTGAGTTTAATGATTCTCTCTCTTTGTATGCATGTTTCAGCTCTGATTGCTGCATCTAACTTCCCTGCCAAAGTTTTCCCTGTTTGAAACTCTGAACTTCTCTGTTTATCTGGTAAGATTCTGTAATCCAAATTCAATATCCCAAAAAGGATGTAGTTTTTCTCAATGTTTTTATTTTTATTTTTTTTTCCTTCAGAAGGGTTCTTAAATCGTGTTTCTTTTTGTCTGTTCTTCATGCTTCTACCAGTCAACTTCTGTTCTCTGTTTCTTAGGTGAATTTTTAAACCCCCAATTCCATAAAGTTTTATTAAAAATATTAACTTTCACCCAGGATCATCGATTATGATGTTTTCTCCCCAATTGGATCATCCAGATTTTCTTCTTTTTCCTTGTGTTTGTTTGATTGCATAGGATAAAAGAACTAGGATGGATTCTTAAATCCCTAATTCAATATAATTTTTACCAAAAAAAAAAAAAAGTTATCTTTCACACAGAAGCATCTAGTAAGATGCTTTCTCCCAACTGGGTCATCATGGTTTTAGGCTTTCTCCATGTGTTTGTTTTATTGCATGGTACAAAAGAACTTAGGTGGATTTTTAAACCCCCAATTAAATATTTTCCGAAAAGAAGTTAACTTCCACACAGGATCTTCAATTAAAATGAATTATCACAATTGGGTCTTCAAGGTTCTCTGCTTTCTCCATGTGTTTGTTTGATTGCAAGGGGTGGAAGAACTTAACTCTGTTTCAATTTCCCCTGTTTTCTTCACAAGCAGAGCTCTGTTTTTAACTGATCTTTGATCAAGGATGGCCATAAACGCAATTGAGTTGTTGAAAGGAAGCACAAGCCAAGAAGAAATAGTGGAAGTTCTTGCAGCAGTGGCTGCAGATTTGGGGGATGTAATAGATGATCTAAACTCTTTGCAGGTAAAACCTCTTAAGGGGGCAATGACCAATGAGGTTTTTGAGGTAAATTGGCCAACAAAAAGTGATGGTCATCAGAGAAGGGTTCTTGTTCGATTATATGGTGAAGGTGTTGAGGTTTTCTTCAACAGGGTGGACGAAATCCAAACCTTTGAGTGCATGTCTAAGCATGGACAGGGTCCACGCCTTCTTGGAAGGTTCACCACTGGCAGAGTTGAGGAGTTCATTCATGCCAGAGTATGTGATTATCCTCTTTTATTTCCTTTTTCTGTTTAGTTAATTTTAGGGTAAATCTCTATTTTAATTCCTAGCATTATAAGCACCAATTATTTTGATGGACGTTTTTATGAAATGTTATTTTTTTTAATTGATTATATAAGACACCAGAAAAGATTTTTATAGATCCCTATGGCGTCGTTTGATCCATATAGCCGACCCCACCTAGTGGGATAAAGGCTTGGTTGTTGTTGTTGTTGTATCCAATTATAAACTACCATGTTAGTAAATCTGCTAATTTTTACAAGATCTATTTATGATTGGTTAATGGAGTATAGAAATTTTCAATAACAGTATTAGAAATTAAACTCTTCAAACTTAGATCTATTTATGATTGGTTAATGGAGTATAGAAATTTTCAATAACAGTATTAGAAATTAAACTCTTCAAACTTTCGATATATATAAAGAACTAAAATAATGGTTTAATCTTTTAATTTGGCTTTATTATCAGGCCTTTGCAGAAAATTATGTTTGCTTAATGATATTATTATATAGAAGTGGCTGCAATGATTGCATTCGATTGATGATTTTTGTGATTTGGAGAATATATGCTTAATTTAAACTTTAAAGCCTTTTCTCTTTTTCCAATTTTCTTTTTTTGTTCTATTCAAAAAGTTTTTCTTTGGCCTTGGTTGTTAACGTTTCTATTTTATTCTCTCTTCCTTTGGACGAATGGAGGGTGTTAAATAAGAAGCATCTTTAGCATAGTAAATTGAATGGTATTGAGTCAACGAATGATTGAGTGCTCTAAGGAGCTTTCTTTTTGCTCCAAATTCCAACCCTAAGTGATATTTCTTTCTATATCGAAAAATAATTGATAAAAAAATCCACTCAAAAGTAGGTGAATTATTAAAAAATATATATATTATCGTGAAAGGTACCTATTTTGTCCTTTTCCTATCTTTATTCTAGTCAATAGATGATGACCATTAGTAAGTACAGGGGAAATTTATGTAATCAAGTAGTTGCCTTTATTTGACGAGTTCATTGACGTCAGAGCATGTGATTACATTTTTCCAATTAATTAATTCTAGAATAAACTCTCCTCGAGATTGTTAGCACCAATTACTTTATCTTTTTTATTTTACAAAACTCTCCACTTTGGTGACTATGTAAAACTCCATACACTTTTATCCTTAATGTAGTTAAAAAAAATATAATAAGAAAGAACAAAACAAAAGAACGTTTTGAAAAATCAATGGCAGAAATAAGAGCTTTGTAAAGTTAAAAATTAAAGTAAACAGTTCTTATAATTTCAAAAACTAAAATGAGGATTTACTTGTTAATTTTTGCTACATAATATTATAATATAGAAGTGGATGCAATGATTAGACTCAAATTGAGTTTTTGTGATAAGAAGGATATATGCTTGAGCTTTTCATCACTTCTTTCTCTTCAAAAATTTTCCTTTGCATATTTGGTCTTGTCTCTTCACTTTTCTATTTTATTCTCTTTTTCTTTGGACGAATGAAGGATTATATCTTGTAGATTAGGGAGCTGCATAATTTTGGCATCATAAACACCTCAAAATAAACGATACTGTTTCTTTGTAGTTTTCATGACAGGGTTTATCTACCTGAAAAAACATACTGTCACTTTTAATAGCTGAGAAAATATTTTTATCCACTCAGCTCATAGATGGATAGTGTAATGTTTTAAGACTGAAGAACTTCATATATACACTGTAAAAGAAAAATTCATACAAGACTAAACGCTATTGATATAGAACAGTACAATTAGATGAGTTTAGGTAGAAGAAGTAACAGTTGTGGTGCCATAATGACATTTTTCTAGTGATTTCATGAAGGTCATTGATATATCAGCTGATCTCGTTCCTTGAGGTCACAGGGGCAGTGATTTCATCAGTATTTAGATTTTCAAGTGTTACCAACATTAGTGTCATGCTGTAAGTGAAAATGTCATCTTAATCAAATAATGGTGTTTTTTTTTAACCATATTCTTAATGTGAAGTATCCATCAATTTTACCGATAACTGATTTCTGCTGTAGAACTTTTAGAAAGGTCTCCAACCACATTTTTTCAATCAAATGATGTTTTGTAAAGGGTCCTAAAATAATTGTTTGTTTTTATCTTATAACATACATTATCATGTTAGGAAGTAACATGATAGAATCTAAACACCTTTAATACATTCCTTTTTTATTTCCTTGTTTATTAAAATCAATTTAAGAAGTCGTATGAAAGCCATGGTGATAACTTTAACGATAATTATGTGTAACATGCTTTTTCTTTTCCTATGTTTGGAATTTTAGACTCTCTCAGCTGCGGACCTCCGTGACCCTGAAATATCTGCATTGATTGCATCTAAGATGAGGGAGTTTCACAATCTTCACATGCCTGGTGCAAAGAAGGCTCAGCTTTGGCAAAGAATGAGGTAATATAATAATAAATCAGGCTAATATTCAAAAACTTTTTCATTGATGCACAAAATTACTATATGTGCTGTCCATGTTCAACCAGGAAGTGGCTTAGTCATGCCAAAAATTTGTGCTCCCCAAAAGATGCCAAGAATTTTTGCCTGGACAATCTAGATGCTGAAATAAATACGCTTGCAGAGTCGTTATCTGAAGGTTATCAAGAGATTGGTTTCTGTCACAATGACCTACAATATGGTAACATAATGATAGATGAAGATACAAGAGCAATCACTTTAATTGTAAGTCATATTGCTGTTGTTTCGTTACATATTCTCTTTTTTTTTTTTAGGCTTTGTTCCTGTTCTAAATCTGTACGGCAATGGATGAAAATCAGCTAGTTTTTTTTCCCTTAATCTATGTTCAAAGTTGAGATGATAATTTTATCTATATTGTTGAACTTTCACATTCTAGTTTTTTCTTCTTTAAATAGAGTTCAGAATCTATTGTTCATGATGAATATAAGAATTCTGACATAATACCATGTCAATGTTATGAGGATGATAGGTACTACCACTTATATAGGCTCTTCCCATATTTCATCAGTCTCATCTTATACATTAAACTTATATTTTCCATTCCTATTTTTTATTTTTTCAATGATGCAGGACTATGAATATTCCGGTTACAATCCTATTGCATATGATCTGGCAAATCATTTCTGTGAAATGGTGGCAAATTACCATACTGATGAACCACATGTTCTTGACTACAGCAAATATCCTGGTAAATCAATTTCTGATATATTTTACAGACTCTATTACATTTTACGATGCCAATTTTGCTTCCCTACTTTATGCTTTTGTATTGAGATCCCTCTGCTGAGACAACTTCTTGTATAACAGGTCTGGAAGAGCGACAAAGGTTTG